AATTCACATTGAGTTGGTTCCATCCATGGACACAAGTTCATGTGTGATGGCTATCGAGCGCTTTATTTCTAGGCGAGGAACACCCTCAATAATTTGGTCGGACAACGGAACAAACTTTAGAGGAGCCGAAAAAGAGCTTCTTCTGTGCATCAAAAATTGGAACGCAGAAGCTCCACTGTCGCTCGTGCACAAAGGCATTAAGTGGAAGTATAATCCGCCAAGTGCACCACATCAAGGTGGAGCATGGGAGCGAATGGTGCGCAGTTGTAAGCGTATGTTTTATGCAATCTTAGGGTCAAGAAAGTTGACTGACGAGATTTTGAACACAACCATGTGCCTAGTTGAAGGTTCACTAAACGCCCGTCCACTCACTCCCGTTTCTGACGACCCCGATAGTCTTGAGGCTTTGACGCCGAATCATTTCCTCTTAGGTCAGCACAGTCTAACGTTTCCGTCTCTAAGGTCGAGTGAAAACTATTCTCACTCTAAATGCTATGCCCGTGCGCAGTCGTACGCAAACGCAATTTGGCAGCGATGGTTAAGTGAGTACGTCCCTACACTCAATAAAAGAGTTAAGTGACATGCTCCTCCCGAATACTCTTTGAAAACGGGAGATATGGTGTGGTTAGTTGAATCCACTAGCCCTAGGGGCCACTACCCACTAGCACGCATAATGTCGCTAAACTACGGCAAAGACAACACCGCCCGCTCCGCAAACCTAAGGACCGTTTCCGGAAACTACCTTCGGCCGCTCGTTAAGCTCGTTCCGGTTCTCGCTCCTTCGGGGGTGGAGGATGTTAATGCTGCATAGAATTGAAGTTTGAAAGTATAGTATAAAGCCAGTATAGTTGCTTAGCAATATCAGCTATATAGCTCAGCGTATACATAGTGCGTTCCGGGGAGTTCGGCGTGGGTTCGGTTCTCACCTAAGTCGTTTCATTTGAGAATCCTATTTGAGCCGAACCTGACAGAACATAAAATGCTAATATTTTAATCGGTTCAAAATTGGTTTGCAATTCAGCTTCTGTTAATTAAACTGCGTGAACTAAGTATGAACACATTGTGAAAAAACACATAAATCACACAAATCAGGGTATGAACAAGCCCACTTTTTAACTTGATACGTGTAATGTTTTTGCTAATTCCGTGCAATAAAAAATTACTAAAATTCGCTGTTTATTGATTCTCTTGAATTAAACCGATTCTGTTTCCTGTTTATATAAGTTATAAAAAGTTATAAAAAAAGGCCAGAACACTACTACTACTACCCTGTAAAAGTTTAGGAGGAACGCGTTCTTTTTGTGATGGTTGCCAAAAACACTAATGAGGAAATATTGGTAAATACTGAAAACTTTGGAAAAGTTCGTACATTATTTGAAAAAATGGCTGTTTAGTTGTTTAGTTCAAGATTCAATGCGGAGCACAGATTATTAAATCAATCTCTGCTTTTCTTAATTACAAAGACCGACAAAAATTTACATCAAAATGTTCATGGTCACCCGTTCGTCCAACTTTTGGCAGGCAAAACCAATTTAAATTTTGTTTCATGATACAACATTTGCTGGCTCTTTTCCAGTTTCCCCCTTTCAAAATACCGAGTTTTATGTTTGTTTTACGTCTTATTACGGCTAAATGCGTGATGTTACGCTGTAGAGTATGAAGAAAAAATCTGTTCTCAGTTGTCAATTTGTTCACCACGCCAAATTTCATTGCATTGTGACAATGTTAAATAAGCTTTTCAAATTTGAATTTGAAAGGGGGGACTGGAATAGAGCCCATTTGTTAAAGTTCATTATCCCGTGTGAATCACATGCTTGTCACACGGTTTTTAATGGCAAAACAATTAGGGGTAGACTTGGTTAGTGCATCTTGGCTTTCAAGTGGGAGTTATTAAGGGAAATTTTGTGGCCGATAAAAGGTTGTTAACTGGACAGGATAATCTATCAAATTGAAGAAAAAAAACATCACTGAATTTTTAAATTTTTGTTTTGTTTTAATTCGTTTCATGTCTTCTCAGCTGCCAATATCTTGGCTTTTTTAAATTTCAACGCTTAACCCGGTTTTCAAACAGCACAAAAGTGAATTCTACTTCTAGTTTCCACAGACACAAGCTTTACATGTTTTATTTTTTTCTGTTAACATATAAAACCTGTCGCAAAACTCCTCGGACAATAGAACCCGAATCACTATCAAAATACTCAATCTTGGTGTTTAATGTAGTTTTCTAGACCAATTTATACAATTTTAAAGCTGTTTTGTAAAATCACAGCATAAAGTTGTTTTAAAAATTTTCGTACGGCAATCTGCATGAAATAAATTTGGTCTTGATCACGCTGACGCGTTTTATTGCAGTTTAGAATATCAAAAGTCATTTTAAAATGCTTTCTTAATATGAATTTTGTTAAAAAAATCAAAGGGGGGACTGGAAGAAAGCCGATACTATTTGCACCTTGGGACTTAAAAGTTACTTCTTGATTACGTTTTTGTTTGTAATTCCGGGCATGCATCAGAGATTTGTGAAAGAACTATGGCATAGTGTGTATTTTTCCGCCCAGTTGTAGATATGTTGAGAAAAACTGCTCTGACATCATTCATTTGGTCATGCTACGCTTCAAGTTCTTACGCTTCAAGTGTAGTTCTTCAAGCTTCAATTACTTCCCTGTTACCCGCAAACAAACAATATTTCTCCCCACTTGTTTTTTGAAGTTTTCTATTGATGACCCGGGTTGACCTCCATACACCGAAAATGCTTATCATACAATTCCATACATCAAGTGTGTGGGAAAATGCTTGTCATACAATTTTCATACAATTTCTAAAAAGGGTTGAAAACTGGTATAAACTCGTTTCTGTGGCTGTTTGATTCTAATAAAACAGTCTGGTGATAAAAACTGAGGTTTTCTTTTTTTTGAAAAAAATGCTTATCATACAATTCCCATATATGGAAAGTGTATGACTGGCATTTTTTTTTGATGGCGACACAAAGTAATTTTGAAAATTTGGCCCAAAAATTTTTTTGTTTTTTTTTTCAACCGCAAATCGAATTTCGTAAAAAAAAATTTTTGCATGCAAAATTGAATATTTTGTGTGCATAACGTAGTCCAGGATACGATAAAATTGGCTTTTATTTTCTTTTCACTTATATATTTTTTTCAAAAACGCGGAAAATTCCTATTTCTTCTGTATGGGGTGTTAATGTATGCCTTGATCAATGTCTGATAATTTGAAAATTCAAAAATTTAAAATAATCATCATTAAAAAATTCTGCCAAAAAATAAATGTTTGTTACTTTTTTTATATCAATTGTAAAAGACAGGCACATTCATGCCGTTTTCTATGCATTGTCAATGCAAGACCGGCCAACCTTTGGTGTTTTGAGTAACCAAGGTCTTTGTCAATTGTGTTCGGTTGCAACTACAACCGAAAATTTTTCAGAAACTAAATTTAGAAAGAAAAAATCAAAATTTTTGGTTTATGGAAAATCACGCTATCATACAATTTTCATATATGGAAAAATGCTTATCATAGAGTTTTCATACAATTTTCTGTACGTATGGAATTGTATGAAATTGTATGACAAGAAGTTTCTCATATATGGAAATTATATGATAAGAAGTTTTGGTCAACCCGGGGACATTGGTCGGTTTTTTCGGTGCTTCTTGCTGAGCAACCGACTCCTAGTTTTTCTATCATGTGACTGTCTGCTTCATGATAGCAACATTTGCTTCTGACACTGACAGTCTGAAATACTCTGTTAGACGTCTGCATCAGCCATCACTCATTCTGTGAACAGATTCCCTAGTTAAAGCATGCATGCTTGGAAATGTATTAAAACTCAGATAAACGAAAACTACTATAATTCCCGTTTATCATCTTAAATCTAAATTTAGTCCTCAGTTTTTTTTTGTGCTATCGTGCCATATTGTCTGAAGTGTCTTTTAGCCATATGCTACCAAAAACTGTTCAATGTATTGATGCATCTGATCTCATATGTTTTTAATATTTATAGCTTTTTCATTTTTTACTGGTACTTATCTTGAAGCGTTAAACATAAATGGAAGAATCCTCAATGCTTTGAATATGGTGCTTTGACTTCATTTTTTGACGAGAGACGACGCAGCTTCTTTTCATTTCCTAATGAAAAAACTATTCAAAGTTCTTTTGAAAAACGTTCTTTTCGCTCTTCAACGATTTGATGGCTATCTGTGCAATTAAAAACTCAGGTAAGATGAATTAAATTCACTAAGTTAGAATGAGGTTTAGATTAATATGAAACTCATCTACAAAAAATTGAAACTGATCTCGCCAAAATTTTACGCTTTTTCAGTCATCATGTTCAAATATAAAGGCGAGTCAGCTAAATGCGGTCTTTTTTATCCGACCCTTCCCAGAGAGTTGGAAGGAACTAAGGGGTAGGGTCCGTTTTTGAAATTTTTTTCTAGCCAAGTTTTACTACATCAAGGCAAACTCGTAGGTGTCGAGTGGTAGTCATGATTTTGATTTTAAAAAATCTTGAAAAAATTCTTTCAGTGCCGAGAAAAGTTGTAGTGCATTTTTCTGGTTTTCAGGCTCAATTTCTGAGTAGAAGCTGACCTCAAATTTTAAATTTCACTTTCAATTTTAGCTAGTAATACCACTCATTCTGTTTCACCCTAATCAGTATTTTTTCAAAAAAAATCAACAAGAATTTTGGGCAAAAAGAGGTTTAAGAAAGCTTTCATTGTAGTTACGGATTTCATGAGCTAATTGCTTCATTACACCATAAAACGAATCACTTAAAATATGAAAAAGTGAGATATTTAGCGACTAACGGAGAACTTTTTTTCGATCTTCGACAGTTTCAGATATCAGAATTCAGAAGGATGACTTTTTGAAGCTGCAGAAAATCTTACTAAATGATGAAACTCATGTCATCGTTTTAAAAATGATTTAAAAAGTGGATAGTCACTTTGTTGAGAGCATGTCTAATTGAATCACGCGAGTTTTTTCATCTTGTGATATTGGTCATACTGGTTTGAATGTACGTCACGGTTTTCAAGTTTTATTTGCCAATCAATAGCTCTGAAATTGAAAATGTCTAGTTTTCTTTCTTTTTGCCCTCAAAGCGGATTCAAATTTCAATTTATCAACCTAATCCGTCCCGTAAAAATCTCCTCTTTCAGTCATGTCAGACACAGCACGAGACGCCGTTACGGTAACACGTGAAAAATCAGGCGCGGCTCCTACGCACATATTCTACTTACTCCTATTTTTTAGTACTTTATTTCCCGGAAAATCAATAAGCCTCCCCTGGTTTTCCCTCCTCGTCCCTTCCTAAACAGGAAATAAAAACCATTTGAGGCCTTTCAATTAAATGCATTTTGATCAAATGGTCTTTTGGCACCCTTCGTTGATTTCAACTTTGAATCTGGTCAGCGTTTCCCTCAATTTCACTTGCCCGCTGGGATACTCTTACAATCATTTTCAATTAGCTAAAACGCAAGTTATTTGTTAAAACGCATAGCCTTATCAGTTATGTTTTCATTATGATCTTCCATACATGTTTTCGGTGAGTGAAAGTTTGAGAAAAAATATCTAAAAAATAGCATTTTTGATCGGATAATTGAGTTTGCAAAATAATGAGCCTACAGGCATTAGTTACATCTGAAAGATAATGACCATGTCATTACCAGCAAATGATGGGTTCGACCTGGTTACATATATCGTCTATTTTGTTTGAAGCTTTGATTGTATGCTTTGCCAGAACATTTTTGCAAAAAAAATCAACTGCATTATTAGATTTGCTCGCTGACACGTGAATGTAAATAAACTCCACGTGAATTCAAACCCAGTTATAAAAATACTTAAATGCAACATTCTGGTCTAGCAGCAGACACTCCTATTCCAATCATGTCAAAAATGCAACGACAACAAAGCACAGCAGAGCAAACCAGAGCACAAAAGTCCAAATATCACGAAACCTAGCCATTCTATTTTGAAATTATGGCATTACTAACAAATATAGAGCTGTTAATTTGTGTTTTTTAAAAATAACTTTTTTCAAAGTTAGGAAAAGAGCAAAAAACTAGTTTTCTTAAAAACTACCTAACCTGAATTGAACAACTGAACGAAGGGTAAGTACTCCACTACCCTGTGTGCTGCATAAACCCCTAGTCTAGTTTTATCTTACTCCACTTCCTACAGCCTTCAAAAAGTCTCTGGGGGCAATTTTGACACAAGTCTTAGGTTTGATTTTCGCTATCCTTCCAAATCTAAGATTTTTGAATTCAATCAAAATTACAGGTTGTGAGAAACCCTGCACGCAAAGTATGACCCTCGGAAAAGCCAAAGTTTTTAAAAAATTTTGACTTATCTCAGACACTATCACTTAAAATGAGATTTTGGGTTCAAGGGAAACAATAGCTTGTGGGAAGCTCCATGGTTTGAGAGTTGCTTCCCACAAGCTGTTTTGATTGTTTGACTGCTCTTTCAAACGTTTTATCTTTTCTCAAAAATTTTCCTCCCATTTGGGTTCAATGGAGAGAATGGGCCATGGGAAGCTCCCAGTATGAGCTGTTTTGTGCGAATTTTTGGCCCTCTGAAAATTCAAGTTTTTGACTCATTGACAGTTTTGTGATATTTTTGACCACTCTCGAAAACTACCCTCCAAATCATAAAATTTTGGCTTCAAAAAAAAAAAAACAGGGGGAGCGTGAAGCTCTTTTGCATAAGCGGCTGAGTACGCTTTTTATTCGGCTAAAACTAGGGTTCTCAGAAAAGTCTTATTTTTTTCTTACCGTTTTCTTGAAAAACTGCTGACTTTTCTCGAAAACAATCCTCTCGAATCTGAGACTTTGTCTTCAATCAAATCACTAGGTTTGGTGAAGCTACCGTATAAAAAAACTACGCCCAATTTTTACAAAAAAAAAATTTAACTTCTTCGGAAATGTCAAAACCTGTTTTTCGGAGTGTTTCTTGATAACTCTTCACAAGTCGCAAAAACTGTCATCCCAAACCTGAGATATTGGGTTTAAAAAAATGAGCTGAGTGAAGTTCCCTTCCCTCCTTTGAGCGCCGACGCCCATTTTTTTAAACAAAAATTTATATTTTTATGGCCTTCAGAAAAGTCAATGCTTTGTTTGGGCGTTTTTGAAACCTTTTGATTGTTACCGAGAACTACACGGCCGAATTTGATATCAAGGGTTTAATCGAGGCTACAGATTTTGAAAAGTTTCCGTGCATGAGCGGTTACGCCTTGAAGTCTCGAGGAAAAATGTATAGTAAAAACTTCAAATTCTCAATATTTTCATTCTTATTTTATTAGAGAAAAAACGGAGGTTTTGGGTAAAGCCCCTTTTTAAAGTTTTTTCATTCCGTATCGGTTTAATTAATACAAAAATTATCAAACAAGTAGCTCTAGTTCTGATATAAAATAAGTTGTTTATGATGTTAACAAAAACTGAGAGCGTTGACTTGGTTAGACTTGTCAATTCAATCAGGGATATGTTTAAAATGACAATTTTCATACTCTAAAAACTTTCCAAGTTTTGAATGTAAGCAAATTGTGGTTGTTTTTGTTAAGGCAAAATTCGACTTTTTAGTTTGCTTGAATTTTGACAACGTTTTATTACATCTTCTGAAACTTTTAGAAAACTCAGAGCTCGTAGCGAAAAGTGTTTTCACCTGTGGTGATTTTCCTGAATTTTGTCGAATTGATTGTTTTTATTAAGTTGGTGACGTTGAAATAGATTTTATGATTTTTGCTTTTTACATTGTGTCAGCCAAGGGTAAGATGATTTAGGGGTAAGGTGGTGAAGGGACTCCCGTCTCAAAGATTCGACCCCCTGCTAACCCAAAGGGTACCCTCTTTGATACTACTACTATTTTAAAACATTTTTTTTTGGCTGACCGATTTTAGTTTTTTCTAAACTTAGCTTTGAAAAAGTACTTTTTAAATTTTCAAATCCTTCAAATTTTCAATAGTTGCGAGTTGTTTGCGATCTGTCATTTTATTTTTCTCTCACTGTTCAATGTTCACCAAACAACTTTTAAAAAACGACTTTGGTTTTTCTCGCTGTGAGTTTTAGCGAGAACTTCCTCGCCTCCGAACAGAGAGAGAAGAGGTGTTAGCTCAACGGTCAGCCGGTTCAGCTCTCATATCTAGGAGCTGCTCCTATTCGGATCAAAGGACCACATTTCTACTTCGTCGTCTCTTTTCTCAGCGGGGTTGGAATAGGGTTTCTGGTTGATCGAAAACGTTTCGTTTCTGACGTAAATTAAGCTTAATTATTGCAATTAACAAGTCAACAAAGAATGAGGAACTACCAAAAATTAAAAGCATAAGTTAATGTCATAAAGTACGCAAAATTTACACGCAAATTTTATAATCAATTTTAATCAGCGACTAAAAAATGTGGTCATTGTTACGATCAGTCATTTTGACTTTCTATGCACACTGCTTTTTGTTCAGCAGCAAATTCAAAGGTCACGACCATGGTTGTGCTCGCTCTTAATTCTGGCGGGAACAACCTCGCCCCCTCAACAGAACAAAACGAAAAGAGGAAGAGCTCAATGTACGGTCTGTTCAGCTCTCCTGCTAAAGAATTGCTCTTGTCTGGGTCGGCGAAACCATCTTTCTGCCTCGTTTTGGTTCTGAGGTTGATCGGTTTTGAGTAGTTGGCTGATTGACAACATTTCGTTTCATACGTAAGCTAACCGTAATTATCGGATATTTCAAAACAATGAGGTATAAATATGCCATAAATTTTGGTACTTATAAGCAGAATTCAAGTCAAAACTTTGTAATTTTAAAACTATAATGCATAAGTTTCAAATCAGCACCGGAAAAACTATTGATATTTGTTTTTCATCAGTATTTGACTTTTTTCACACTGTTCTTCGTTCATCGGCAAATTACAACCTTGGTATTTCTCGCAATGGAATTGCAAGGATTCTTTAGGATGCTGTCTAAAGGATGCTTATGAGCAGTTAAAGATGCTGTCGAAGTTGACCCTTTTTTCAAAAAAGATGCTTTATCTCCGGGTGTGTTATTTTCTTTTTTTTTCACAGTAGGTAACGCAATTAATCATAGAAATATTTCGCGTAATATATTACCTTGAAGTCTACTGTGTTAGAAGTTAAATGAGATTTAAACATTTAAACAATTTAAACATTGAGCAGTGCCGACAAAAACGGTTTTGAAGTCTAACTTCGAGCAAGTAGAGAAAGTTTTCGAGCTAGATTTTGCCTAAATTGACCAAAAAAGTTTTTTCATTCTAGTAGTACAAAAAAAATAGGTTCAACGCCTGAGAATTGATCTCAAAGCTTTATTTAGTGCCCCCCTCTACTATAAGGTTCTGAAAAAAGCCTCTTCTGCAAAAAAATGGAAACAAATGTATTTTTTTGTTTTATTTTCATGTTTTACGTTCTATATTCATTTTACGAAGACAGTTTTTGTCAATTTTATCTAATTTACTTTCGATATAAGTTTTAGTTTTGTTACTATCATTCCCTGCTCAAATACCAACATCAATCGAAATAAAAATAAAGTGTTTTGTAGTTGTTTAGTGTCGTCGAAATACTCTGCGCTGCTGCCAGTTTTCCTAATTTATTTTTCTATTTTCCTAGTGTTTTAATTGCTTGTATTGAATTGCTTACAAAAAAATTTGGCTCCAGTGATTAAGAGTAATCAACATAGTGAAGACTATTATATAGGCCTTGCTGGTTTTTTTTTCAGGAAAAGTTTTAAAAGTCTCTAATAACTGCCGACGTGCATTCATGCATATTGATGCATTTTTGAATGCACTTAGGTATATATGCAGTTTTTGAGTTCAATTGAAATTCATCTGCTGAAAGTGACGTAAATAGCACTCTCCAAATACCAATGTGGAAATGCCCTGAAAAACGTGAACGATTTCCAGTTTCGAAAGTGGAATTTAATTTTCAGATTTCGAGTGGATTAAAAATTTTACCTGTTGATTCAGTTTTCTCAAGTTGGGTTAATATTATCAAAAAGTGCCCATCATAAATTGTTATAGAAACTCAAAGAGCTTAAAGGTCATCTTTATTTTTCTTTGAATTCGAAAGTTGAGATTTTTTCAAGAAAGCCAGTGTTTTTTATGTGCATTGCGTTCATTACTCTTTTCTAATATTCGATTGGGTATGTTTATAAAACATGTATGTGTCTTGTCTCGGTTCTCAGGTGGATCGATTTCCTTTAGCTGGTTTTTTGACACCTTTCGTTTCATATGTAAGTTAAGAGTAGTTGTCGGATATTTTTTCACACGAAAGAATAGCGAATTTTGAAAAATTTTCGCATTTGAAAGCAAAATCCAAAGTCAAAAAATACACAAAAAATGGAAAATTTCAAGTAACAATTTTAAATCGGTTTCTAAGAATTTAAGAATTTGTGAACTTTGTTTTTTTTTTAAATATTTTTTTCTCATTTTTCACTCACTGACTTTTTTACTGTATTCAGATATCGATCTTTGATCACCAAAAAAAAACAAAATTCAAGATCTTAGTTTTGCTCGATATTAATTCTAGCGAGATAATTCTCAACAGAAAAGA